CGATAAGCCGAAGTTTATATACCCTTGTAGCTATAGCAAAAATTAAATATTCTTGAAAACACTTCATCATCAACATTGATGATTTTCAGCTCAATTATTCGATCGTTCCTATGGTAGCCATATGATATCGTTTTCCGATTTGAATTAAATTAAAATCGTAATTCTTACTATTTTCAAAAGAATTAAAAAAAAATACATAAATAGAGACATTTTTTTAAAATCGTCCGATTTTCATGAAGGGTATAAAAGGGAGACTCGTCAGCGGACACAGCCACAATTAACCGTCAATAAGGCTGCTGGCTGGAAAATATTAAAATTAGTTTCGGTTAGTTGCAATTTGCAAATAGACGCTTTTTCCAAGCAATTAAAATCGGTGCATAAATGCGAAATGGTAAATTGCATTAATGCTTAATTCTTTGTAAATGTATGCCAATTTTCGTTTGCCAAATAGAAGCATAAAGTAAAATAAATTGAAAAATTTGCGCATTTATAAACAAGTTTAAATGCCACATGTGTATAATATACATTTTGAATGGTTTCATTAATCTGTTTTAAAAAAAATGGGTGATTGGAGAAAAATTTGAAAAAAGAGGACCACTCAACGCTTGAGAGTAGTGCTTAATCTCACTGAAACGAGGGAAAACATTTAAACAAGGCAAATGCTTAGCAATTTAGTGAGTAGTTTTTTGAGTTTTAATAAATTAGAAATTAATGTATTTAATCAAGTATTCATTGTTTGATTTTTATGTTCTCAGAAGCTGTATGAAATGATTTAATATTCATTCAAAACAATTTATAAAAATTATATTTCTGAAGAAAAAAATAATAATGTTCCAAGAAAAAATGTACATAAATAAAATGCTGAATTAATTGTAGAATTTATGAACATTGTTCACCGACAATAAAGTTTGTAATTGCTTAAAATTGGTGGTCGGTTTTCCCTGACATTGTTGTTCTACTAACAATTCGCTGAGCGACTTTGTCCGCGACATTTTAATACCTTCCATGTATTTAATGAGGCAAAATATAAAGTTTTGTGATTACTAATTAATAAAAATAAATAAATTTAAATGAAGAATCACAAAATTTTAACGCTCATTATTATATTTTTTGCAGAAAATCGGTTTATTATTTTCCTTGAATGCAACTAATTTAATGATTACCGAATCATTATGCTCATTTGAAGCTCTCTTCATAAAAATTGTTTCTTTGAATGTTCCAGGAACATACAACTTTAAAAAGTGGCACAGCCCGAAAAAAATGATCTTTTTTCGATATGCATGCTTAATGGCACTTGACTGTGGTAAATTAGCCTCTTCTAAGCATAGTTTGCCACTACAGCTATGGTCCCATCAGCTTATCTCTACAGTTTTTCCCCTTTACTTTAGAAAAAACATCATTAATTAAAAAAAAAATTTACCCTAGAATTTAGTGAAGGCAAATTTCTTGTTATTAGGCTTAAATTTGTTTTCACTGTATATCCTTCTACCCTATGAGTACTAGTACTTGACAGCTATAGCTTTAACGTTTCAATAATATACTGATATAAATTGTGAATGCGACCTATTGATTATGCATAGGTATATTCCCGCTGTAATTTCCCTTTCCAATTCGTCATATATCACTATCAGACGCATCGCGTTGGATCTTTTTGCAGGAAATTAAATGCAATTTAGCGAGGACTTAAACGCCGGACGGCTCTTTATGTTAACTTCACCTGTCTGTATAGCCTTCAGTGTGTGTATGGGTGTGTGTTTGTGTGTGGTGGGGGTGTATCTGTGTGTGAATGGAAGAGAGTTCCAATTTCAGCGTTGCGGCATTTTCCGTTTGCTGGCATTTCCTGGTGGGAAAAACGGGGAATGCTACCCACTTGAAATTTTGTGTGTGTGTATGAAGTGGGAATTAATTATGCAGGCATATCATGGCTACTTCTTCCTCCTTCCCCCTGCGCCTCCTTACCCACACACATGCGAAATGCGTCACACACACAGACTCAAACAGTTGGATCCGTTCCGTGTGCGGTTTTAATTTGTGAGCTCGTGCCCGTGCATTTTGCTTGATCCTTTCCTTTCCGCTGTTTGCCAGTGCAATTTCCCCTGCCACGCCCACGTGCAGCGGTCCCCTCACCACGCCCACGCCCACTCCCCACCCACCGTTTGTTGCCCCTGTCGTGTTTGCATTTCCGTGTGATTTCACTTGGCTGGCAGCAGAAATCGATGAACGACGCGGGTCGTGTTAGGGAGTCTTACTCCTTGAGAAACGCACTTTAAGGTCCCAAAACCGTTTGGGGACCACTATTCATTGCAGTTTCAATTGATTTCTATGTATTGAGCTGTTCTATGCCTTATTATCCACTTATTTGAAACGGGAACAAAATCAAGAGCAAATCTGCTTGATTTCCGTATTCTTCTTTATACTTTTTCTGAATGAATCGTTACATTTAGTATATAAAATTAAATTCAGAGGACTTAATAACTTCTAAAATTATCACCATATTGAGAAGTTTTTCTGGATGTTTTGATAAGAACAGCTTTCCAACATAACTTAATTGTCTTCTTACAGCACTTTTTTTTATCCTTTAACAAAGTGTGCTAAGCTACAAAACGACGGTATTCGATACTCTCATTCCATTAGCTAGAAACAGTCAAACCGACAGAGCCTTAATGTGGAAACTAAGTGAGCTTATCTCCACAGCGGTTTCCGCACCCGCCACTAGGTGGCGCCACTATGCTCGTTGCCCTGTCTGGGTGCACTTCACTTATAAATTCTATAAATTTTAGATCATAATGTGACCAGCATCCATCCCGCTGTGCGTCTGTGTGTGAGCGAAAATTACATCTGTTTGGCGGTGCAGGTGGGTGGCGAATGGATGTCGAAAGGGTGGCAATTGGGTCAAACTGCTGGTTACTACAGGGTGACCTACGAAAAATTTGCCTCTTAAACTGACTTTACTGGGCAGAAGTTCGCCGATTTCTTTATCTTACAACATATCGTGCTTGCGGTCACCATTGACGGTTATGTCGGCTTCTGACTTGACTTCGAAGAAAAACGGGCACCAAAAAATCACTCGTTGTGGATGCGTTGGCTTCTCGGAGCCTCAAATGCGGCAAATTTTCTTGTTAAAGTAACCACCGAGTTGAAAATGATCTTCATCTGAAAAGATGATTTTTAGGGAAAAATGCTAACTTCAACCAAGCGCTCTTCGTACCATTGCACGATCTGAAAACGCCTAAACCATTCGTTTTTATATTTTATAGTCTTTTCTAAACGCAACTTTTTCATGGGCCTCCCTGTATATGTTAAGCATTTTCATTACCACAAACTTTTCAGCTCAGACGCTGTCATTATCACAAAGTTGACTCTCGAAATGGGTCCACTGATAATAATCGGCGAAAAAGAGTAATCAAAAGTCTAAGTCAAAAGAGGTTTCTTTAATTTGAGAATACTTAATAAATGAGAATAGTCAAGCGTTTTTAGAAAGTTACTCGATTGTAGATTATGTTTTGTATATATTTTGTTAATGTGGCGAATTCAGCCATGAATTAATTTCAATTGAAATACTGATAATGGATATCGAATGACGGGATAGAGGCTTCCAACTTAAGAACTAATTGCATGCAGTCGAGAAATCATCATACATTTTATGTGCTTATATTATATAGATATAAATATTTATTTGGCGACGCCTGTTTTTTGTTGATTAGTTTAAAGAGTATTTTCCACCACCTCGTTAGCTGTTTTTACTTTCACCCTTTACTTTCCCTGCCTGAAAATAGGTATACCGGCAGCCTGCTCATTAAAACGACTTCACCCATTCCAAAAACCACCTCCGATATTGAAAATCATTAAATTTTAATTGTTTTTGTTCACTTTCATATTTATTTGGATTTTGCATAGTAATAATATGTTGGTTTATTAGTATTTGTTTGTTTTTCAGCTTAGTGCTTACTTTAAATTTTTTATACATTAAAATTTATGCCTAAAGTTGTAAATAAAATCATTTTGAAATGTAAACTTCCGTTTATTTTGCTTGGTATCTTGACGTAGGTTCTCTAAACAAATACACCGATTTATTGAAGTATTCAAGTCACATTCAACGTCGCATTGAGATTGCGTTTTCTATATGCGTATGCTTATTTAAGAGTGGGTGCGAATATTAATAAATACTTTGCGTTGAGCAACAGTTTGCGCTTAAATTATGATAAACTTGTGATGGAGTGGGTAAATAGAAAAGAGGCACAGGTCATTAAATGGCGTTTGAAGTCTGGCTAAATGGTAAATAAATTTACAATAATTAAAGCCCCTTATTTCGTTTGAAATTATTAATTGAGCTCATCAATTGCAAACAGACAAATGTCATTAATATGCAAATGCGAAATGCTATCCGAGAATATTTCTCTTTCGGTGAAATAATTTTTGCCATAATTTTTGCAAAGTGTTTTCATTTTGAGTGCCGCTTAAATGTATGTTTTATATAAAATATATATACAGTGCTTGGTGTCGCAATTAAGTAGATAAACCTAAAGTCTGTGCACAAAGAATATATAAATGAAATTTGTTTAAAGTCGGGTTCGCTGAATATGTATCTATGCAACATTGAAAAAATCCTTAGTAAATTTTAGTTTTTGCTTTCAAATGCAGTGAATAAGCAAAAGAGTTATGGGCTAGTTCACGTTCAGATGATTTATACATTTATCTCTCAGTATGTATGCATTAGTTTCTATATTTTATGCTATCCGCTTCGAATGTATTTTGCTTTAGGGATTTAAATGGCGGAATTCACATTCGTTTAAACATTCGTGGCCATAGGAAAAACACAATTTAAATTTGACTAGAAATTAAATATGAAACTTACATTTTGTTTTGCTTTGATTCTTCGATTATTCGATTGTTTGATTTGTTTTGTTTGATTTGTTTTAAAACTTAGCTTAAGCAACATGAAAAATATTTCTGCTTTTATATAGGTAATTTATAAATTTAATTTGTAATTTTAATGATTTGTTTTTGTTTGTTCATTATAATTAAATAACATAACATTAGTTAATTAAAACTAAAACGCAGTCAATTTATATATTTGGAATTTCATTTAGCATACGCATAAAATACACATAATTCTTTCTGGTTTATTTATGGATCTCGTACATTGAAATATTCATAAACAACGCTACAGCTTCATATTACTTTTTTATGTTTTTATCGGATCGAGGACAGACAGTGTTGTGGTCTTAATACGTTTAATACACAATCACTGATATTCATTTACATAATTAGTATGTGTATTTTCGGTAGGGTCAATTTTGTTGAAAGCAAATAATGAGTAATCCATTTTAAAGACAGTTCCTAATATATTTTTCTTAAGATTCAGCTTTCAGTTTTAATTTAAAACTTAGTTAAAACTAGTTGGTGTTTAAATATAAAATATAATATATATAATTAATTATATTTAATGGCGTGCCAATAAAAAAACTTAGTCAACTTGACATTAGAGCGACCTGTTTGGTATTAGAGATTTTTGTTTTTAAGAATTATCAAAAGAATTTAAAGATTTAAGATTTCTCAGAAATTCAGTATATTTGCTTTCTTCTAATCGACCCATCCTGGTGTATAAATAGATTTCTTTTCGTTTTACTTTTGTGTTGGTTTGTATAGGATATGCAACTAAATTCACGTCTCTCTTTTTGCTTTTACTCTATTCAGGAAAGGATCGTTTCCCAAGATTCCCCTCTTGTCTGCTTTTGAGTTTGCCACCGACTGAATAATACTTTTCCTGGTTTTGTGTGCTCCTCACTTGGGATACGCATCGCCTATGACATGGCATTATAGGCGGGTTGTTCGTGTTGCTTGGGGCAGCGGCCGTGTTTGTCCATGTAGGGACCGAATTCACAGGTGGGCGGCTTGCAGCGGCCTTGCTGGATGCACCTATTTAGATGGGGTAAAGTCAGGACTGGGGTTCTCAAAGGTTGGGATTGGAATTTTTCGGCCACTCACTTGCGATCGTTCATGGCGAAGTGCTCGTTGCCACGCTTTAGCCAATCGCAGTCATAGTTTCCGGAACTGCAGTCGCACCGGCACTGCCCGTCGTCCTGCAGGATTTTCTCGAAGCTCTTCGGACAGGTGCAACTCAGTATGGTGGCCCGCACCACCGACTGCCCGTAGTGGGCCATTGCCATGGCCGTGTCCTCGTTGTAGTTCGATCGCTCGATGCAATGGCACTCCGTATGGTTCACAAAGGTTCTCTTCTCGATTACGCTCCGGTGCTTGCTGCTCTTCACCTGCGGGTAATCGGAAAATGGGGAACTGCTTAATTAAATGCCACAAGCACATCGTCACCCACATCCATTCCCATCCCCAAATGCCGGCCGACTATTTGCATATGTAGCTCGCATAATTGACCCCCGAACTCCGTGACGTGCTCCCATGCTGAACAGAGACATATATACATATCTTTGTATCTGGCAGCAGGGAGTTGACAGTTTGCTAAGCTGACTGCTCATCAAACTTGTTGTCATTGTTGCCCTGGCTCGATGACGGCCGGTTATTGCTACAGCACTTGTAGTTCTTAAATGAGTTGTCAGTTGTTGGCGCAGGGGCTTGAGCAGTTGCGGAAATTTTGGAAAGGGGTTATGATGTGTATTAGTACAATCAAAGAACATAATTCCCTGATTTTAAGAAAAACAAGAGAGGAAGCAAACATCGGTAAAGCGAGGTTTCTATACCCTTGCAGCTATTCCAAACCTTATTTATTTTTTGAAACATATAATTTCGAAGTATATGCTTAAAAACATTGAATTTATTTTTCTTTATTTTTTTGTATAATTTAAATTGTTCTTAAGGGAGCTATATAGTCGTATGATATAGTCGTCAAAATTTGATCAAATTAAAACCGTTACTCAAAAATAATAAACCATTTCTATATATCAAAGAACTAACAAAAAAATCGAAAACAGCAAAGCTAATTTTTTTTCTCTTTTTCCCTAATTGTTTCTGTTTGAGCTATATATATAGATCCGTCTCGTCCCGACTTATAAACTACCTGCAATCGAAAGACACCACTTCCGAAAGCTTCATGCAGATCGATTTAAAACTGAGAGGAAATAATAAGATCGACTCTCCTAGTGATGCTGATCAAGCATATATACTTTATAGGGTCGGTAATGCTTCTGACTTAAATTATAATACCCTCTGCAAGGGTATAAAAATTGCTTAGTTTAAGGTATAAAGGACTAACAAGAGCCTACCAATAATTTTATTGTGGAAAAAATTAACTTGAAAATGCAACTTGGCCAGCTCGATGAACTTAAGTCATCTTTTTAGTTCATGTTTCCGTAAACTTATATGAATAACTAGCTTAACAATGTAGTACAATATTTACACACTTTATCCCAATTACATTAATCAAACAAACATTTCCCTAGCTTATAGTTAACTGTTATCAGCTTTTTCGAGGCATTAATTATAGCTTATAAGCAATTATAAATTGTCTTTTCCTTGGGGGACCCCTTTATGTTCGGTCGGACGCCACTGGCCGAGAGCCATTACAAGACCACAAGACTTCTACAGTTGCAGATTGGTCTCGTGGTCCTCCTCACCTCTGTCCACCTCTCCACCGCCCTTGTGTCGCCACTTTGGTGGCTGGCCCGTGGTCCACATTTCACCCCACTCCCCTTGATATTGTGGGTCTTGTTGCATGACAAGTGCAAAATGATGAAATGCGTATGAATTGCATAAATTAAGTTGGATTCGTTTAATTAAAATAACAAGTTGGCCATTAATCAAGCCCTGGCCACTCATCCAGCGCAGATATCTCAGTTAGTAAGGAGCAGAAAACCGAAAATTAGCAAGGGAAAACGTCAGAGTTCGTGCAACAAATTTGGAGAAAATGACGGAGTGCTGTGAAGCATTTGAATTTTGATTGGACGCATCAAAGCAGAAACAACTGGCAAACCCAATAAGTTGACAAAGCAAAAAACAGGGAAAATTCACTCACTCGTTCCAGGTATTTATGAAAATGCTTCAAATTGAGTTTTTAGTTTAGTTCGGCTCGTGTTGTGCGGGTCCTTGAGTTTGTGTTTCGGCTTTGGCCAATGGAAATGCTTATACAAATGCAACTCAACCTGCCACGAATTGAAAAAGTTTTTCCCAGTCTTCGCCTAAATGTTTTCACGTGCTTTTGTATTCTGAGAGGCATGAAATTCCTTGAGAACTGGTGGTTTTTGCTGACTAGAAGCAAGAATAATTGCCGGAAGCGGAAGTGCCAAGTACTGGTGTTGTTACTTTACTTTGGCAAAACCACTATTGTGCAAAAAATTGCACTAAAGTGCTTCTCCTGTTTTTCTGCCCAGTAAACATGCAAATATCAGCCTATGCACTGAAAAACAGAGGAAACAAAAACTTGTGGAATAGTTATTTTTCTAAACTTTTTCAGATCAGTTATCAGAAAAACAACCTTTTATTTTATTTGTAAAATTTTTTTATAATAATTGCAATATTGTGGTTGTACCTTAAGAGTATAGCTCTTTTGAACTGAAGACTATATTAAAATGTCCCTGTACGATTTTACTTTGAGTGCATTGTGAATATAACAATATTGTTTGTGAGTGCTAGGGGGGGTAGATGGGTGGTTTACTTTCCAAGATGGCCTCTCTAATTGAGGTTTGGTCTTTATGCATGAAAATGCATTCATAAACCCCTTTTTCCATTCTCTCCATTTCTCTCGAGGATGTGCGTGCGTCCATTTGTGTGACCCGAGCAATTAGTCAGTTATTGCTCGGTTTGCCAGGGAATTTCAAAGGGGTAAGCGGGGGAGGGGAAGGGGAAGGGGCGATTAAGCCAGCTCAGTGGCATGAAAGCATAAAATGTTTTTCGAAATGACCTGAGTTGTTGTTCCGACACAATACAATGGAAAGGGACTAGAACTTAGTTGTGACAAAAAGAAAAATCACATAGTTGTGAAGACTACTTTTGGGGAGGTATTTAAAATGCGTGTTTGTCTAAAAAATATATGAAGTATTGACCTGAATTGTTGATTCTGGAGCTGCCCAGACTTTTGAATGGTCTTTGCAATGCTTTTCTACCGTAAACATATCCCATGAGTGTTTTAATGAACTCGTTTGTATTCAGCAAACCGAAGTATACATTCAAAAGTCCAACATTTTAAACAAGGCTTGATTTTAAACTTTCCAGCTTCAAAAGAGTTACTAAGATATGCAATGTTCTGGTCTGAAAACAATGTCCATTTCCTCCTAACAAAATTGATGTTATTTCTTAGCGAACTTCAAACTTTGGCAAAAGAATCTTGGAAGTTATAAGCTTAAGCATATTAGTACAGAGTTAATGTGGTTTTTCCACCCCAAAACATTGTTTACTTGTCCACTTTTGCATATTTCACTTCCTTGTTTCCCAACATGTGAAAACAAACAATTGCGAACTTGTAACTAACATCAACGTTGCTGATAAAGTTTTGGCATGTTTAAATCACCAAAAGGGAGTAACAAACGCAGAGAGATAATATATGCTCTGTTAAACCTATCAGGAAAATCACATGACAGATTTGATATTTCTACGTTATCAAGCTTCGAAACAAAGGATAACACAATTATATTATACCACTTAAATTTATAAACTGGTCAAAGCATGCAATTACAAGGAGTTTAATGCCAAAATTAAATATTCTTTAAAACAAATAATTTCGATTGACAAGCGTGTATGTCTAATAGCATTAAAGCTTTGACGATTTTTAGCTTAATTATTCGATCGATTTTATGGCAGCTATATGAAATGGTTTTGCGATTTTAATGAAATTAAAAGCGAAATAATTTTTCTTCTTCTTGTTATATATACTTTATAGGGTCGGAAATGTCTCCTTTACTGCGTTGCATGCTTCTGACTTAAATTAAAATACCCTCTGCAAGGGTATAAAAATAAAAAATCATATTAGAGCGTCATTTTGCGTAAGAGCAGTGAGGAATTCTGCACCTGTTTCCACCTGTTTACGTGCCCGAAATTTGCGTTTCGCTCCGTTTTTGGCTCATCAGTGTGCAAACGTGGATGCATCGCAGCACGGGGATTTGAGCTTGACAAAATTGCAATACGCAAAAACTGGCAATGGAAGGGTCACGAAAAGAGGTCACTTAACCGTTCTCAATGAAAACTCGTGTACTTTTTACTTCACCTGGTGGCGTTTTTCAGTTTTTCCAACTCATCGCAAGCTTATTATGTACACGCCTTGAGCCGGCCACATTTTGTGGCAAATTAATTAAATCACTGAAGTTCAGTTCGAGTTGAAGTATGGACGAGGATACACAGAGAAAAACAAATGTGAGTAGAATTTTGGCATATAAATATTTATATTTAATAGCACATACAAGTTTTTTGTTACCCCATATTTTATCCTTGATCTTGATCCCTTGTCTATGACAAAGAAATTCTTTAATTAGATACTAAAGAGATTAAATAGAAAGTTAGATAAAAGATAGATTTTGCTACATTGTTTTTGCGTGTGGATGGACTTGAATAGATGAGGAGTTGGCCATTTGCCTGTCAGCCAATTGACTTTTACTTCGGCTTTGGTCCGCTAGGCAAACCAAAGTTTTGATGGGAGAGTGTGTGTGATTTTATTACTGCTGCTCGTGGGCGTTGGCTTTCACGTTTAGGAGGCCTTTGATTTCTACTTTGAATTTCTAGCCCCATCCCCCCCGACTCTTTTGCCACCCCGCCAGGCCCCCTTCACGCTCCTTTTTGACTTGGGTGAAAGTGGAGGGCATTGAACCCGAAAAAGAGAATCCAGGAGGCGAAGAAAGGAGAGGAGACCGCCTCATAAATCTCACAGCGCTTACAACATGTGCCGGAGTTTGTTGTGGAGTGGAGCTCGTGGGGAAGGGGGACAGAGGGACAGAGGGGGAAGGTCATTGCCCTTTGCAGACTTGCACAATGCAGAACAAACCACACCCCCGCACCTCGTCACCCTCCGCTCCCGAAAACCTTCCACGAAATGCAAAATTTGCGGAACATAAATTATGTTTTGTTAAAATGTTTACGCTTTTTTATCGTGCTGCTGTTGCTGGCTGCATCCTCAGCCTGGTTATCGCTCCTTAGCCCTCCCACACCTCCACCTACTTAAACCTCTTTCTACACAGAGAGGAAAGCATCAATATTACTCAACAGTTATTAAGAAATGTACTCCAACATCAGATGGACCTATTTGTTTTAAAATTAATTAACAGAGTGAAATGGCACATGTTCTTAATAATTAATTAAAATATTTTAAAATGTTTAAGAGATTTATATGTGCCAGATGATAAATACCTACACTGGTAAAAAAAACGTTGTGAATCCAAATATTTTGAACTCAATTTTAATATTTTCTTTTTGATTTTCGTCCATTATGTTTTTTAGTTATTTTAAATATGAATATATAACATTTTTTTTTTAATTTTTCATTTGACTATTGACTATTGACTATTTTCGGAATTGATTTTAAAATCTGCAAATTTATTTTAAATTATATTTAAATTAAATGAAATATGTTTAAATCGAATAAAAATTATTTTAAATCTTTTATTTTCCTCATTAACAAAGTATTTTATATTAAATCATGCATTTTAACACGCATTGAATTTAAAAGTATGACTTAATTTAAATTTTAGGTATTCAATTTTGAATTCATTAGTCAGATACTCATTTTAACGTATCCATGGCTTTACCAGTGCAGTTGTATTTTCGAACTAAGAAAGCCATATAATAAAGCTAATCGCCCTAAACCAATTGTTAATTTAACAATTTTTTTCCCTAAGCCAAGATATTGTTTTGCTTTTGATATAACTTTTCTCCCAGTGAGCATCCTCCTTTTCAGCTCTCCAGCTGTGTGGGTCTGCGTGTGTTTGCCTGCCACTTGACACCTCTCAATGACAAACCGCTGAGTTGCTCCCTTCTGGCAGATTCTCCTCCTGCTTCCTCTTCTGCATACTGTCATGCTTCTTCTTCTTCTCGCCGAGCTTCTTCTTTTCCTTTAGTGGCTTGTATTTTGTGAGCATATGTGTGTTTTAAAGCTTTTGGACTACCATCAGCATAGCCGTAGCCTTAGTTTCCTGCTTTTGTCCTGGCCAGAAATATTCTTTTGCCTTATTTGAAGAGTGGCCAAGGGGCAAATGGAGAGAAAAGTGTGTGAAAATAGGGGGTACAAATGGAGAAGGGGACACTAGAGTTCCTTGGGGCCATACACTTTGCTGCCAAAGAGGAACAAGTTTATTTTGGGAATTTCCCATATTTGCATAACAACACTGGCTTTAAAGCAGGCATACTAAAATCACAATATAGGAAATGTTTTAAGTAGCTTAAAAAATGTGTTTCTTTAACGCTTTGTCAATGTATGTTGATCAGCCGCTAGTTAGTTAATCGCATTTTGATTTTACCCTTTTCTTTAAAGCTCTTTAAACTGGTAAGTACATATATGAAACCTCAAATTGGTTGGGGCTTGTGCCAGACACTTTCTGGGCTAATCTTGTCCCTCGTAACTTTCCCATTAATTTTAAATTCCCATCGCTTATCTGCCAAGTGAATCTCATGGGTTTTTGGTCTAGTGCCGAAAATGTTAAATTGCCATACAATAATTTTTGTGGCATTACTTCCAAGTTTTATTGGATAATTAAGTGGAGAGTTAACCCTACTCCTGCACCGTCATTTCCTCTATGATGGCTCATGTGTGGGCGTGTGTGTCTTTTTCTTAAGCATTTTGCGGTTCTGTTTGCCCCAGACTTCGGGCCCTCTTCTGACTCAGAGTGTGTGAGCATAAATCTTGCAAGTGAAAACTTTTTGCGGCAAGCGCAGCATAAATATTTGAAAATTAAAAGCCATCCTCGGAGCTCAGAGTTACGAGTTCCCTTGCCGGCCCCTAATAAAAAAATTGCAGCTGCAAAAAGGCAAGAGTGAAATTTATGAGTGTTCTGCAGGGACAGAAAGGAGTTAGGAAAAATAGTCCCCTACAAAGTCGCTCATACTGGGAATCTAAACAAATACTGACCGAATTATATGTAAACAAGAAAGGAAGCTAACTTTGGCATAACGAAGTTTATATACTCTTGAACCTATTGCCAAAATTTAATAGTCTTTAAAACATTTAAATATCTATTTATATGCGTTTATTTCATTGTTCCTATATATATGAAATCTTCGAACAATTTTAATAAAACTAAAAGCGTAATTTTTAAAATTTAAACTATTACTATGTTTGACATATTTTAGAAAAAATAAAAAAATTGAAAAGTTAAATTTTTATTTTATTATTCGATTCTGTCTATAGGAGCTATATGCTATAGTCGGTCGATATTAATGAAATTTAAATCTTAATTTCGAAATATTAGACCAACACTATGTCTTGAAAACTTTTAATAAATTAAAAAGAGTTATAATTTTTTTGTATTATTTTTCCGAATTTTTCTATGGGAGCTATATGCTATAGTAGGCTGTTCTTAACAAAATTGAAATTGAAATTTCGAAATATTCATCTCGAAGATCTAAAAAAAATGTAAAAACAAGAAAGTTATACTATTTTGTGTATATTTTTTTGAATATTTTGATTGTTCCTAAGACAGCTATATGTTATAGTCGTCCGATCGTCCTTTCCTAGTGATGCTGATCAAGAATACAAATACTCCTTCTCCTGTCTCCTGTCTCCTTCACTGCGTTGCCAACTTCTGACTTAAATTATTTAACCCTCTGCAAGGGTATAAAAAGATTATGCTTCCTGTTTTTTTTTTTTGCGACTGTACTATGACTATACGCAGATTAAGTTAAAAATCCTTATAGGCGAAAGTCTTTATCATATAACTGCCATAGATAAGATTCAATTTATCATATTTGGGTTTCTTGTTTTTGAATTATAATTATCTTTTGCTGTCTTTTGTTTATTTAACTGTTCATATTTTTGGACACATTCTCTTAAACTTAATCATCTATCATACTGACCGGCTATCCACAGAAAGTTCGCGCAACACACGCTGATTAAGTTACAAAGTCTGACAGGCTTAAACTAACTCACTTGTTAATTTGCGGCTTGCAAGGCTATGTTAGCTTTGTATAATTTGCAATTTGTTGGGTTAAAGGATAAGTTTTCATTAAACATACGAAGCTGACGAATAATTTATACAAGCTAAATTGATATCTCTTTTTGTTAATTAACTACCATATCGTCGATCCAATCTGTAGCATATTTAAGTTAAGCAAAATGCGTTTTCTGCCCCAGAGCAAAGCACAAATGCTTAATTACATTCTCGGTTTCAACATGTATTGAATGCTCGTTACGCAACAAAAAGACATCGAGAACAATGACGGCAACAACAGCAGCAACAACGAGCCACAATAATCATATCATGAGCATAAATCACCAAACAAATTGAATTATCATTGCGTCATTAAAAAGTCATTTCAGCCAAAAGCCCACGGTAAAAAATAAGAACCACGAAAAAAAAAACATAATGAAAATAAAGGTGAAACGATATAATTATGTTGCAATATGGCGCCCTCAAGCATGACCTACGCCCACAACAACAATAATAAAAACAACAACGGCAATTACCACAAGTGAGAGAGAGAGAGCAAGAAGCATGCAGAAAGACAGAGACGGAGCATCGGTACTTAAAAGTCACAAAACGCAAGCAAAGCGCACACATTCACTTTCGAAAACCGTAAGCCCATGCACAATAAATGCGTTCAGAATGTCAGAATGAAAATCGCTTTTCATTTGTTATCGTTGTTGCTCTGGCTGCACCCAAGCGCAGCAATTGAATGAAAATTATGTTCAGAGAGGCGAGGGCGTGGTTTTGTGAAGAAGTCAATAAAAAATCAAATAACAAGAGCTTTGTACTTGAACACTTGACATACCATCATACAGAATTTAATACAATAAATAAACCGATAAAAGTATGTTTAATGTGTTCGTCAACAAAATTTGTTATATTTTTGTAAGTTATGAGTGTCTTGCGTTGCGTGGGTCGTTTTAATCAATGTTGCTGACTGAATTTTGCTGACTATAACAGTTATACATTTCTATTTAAAACTTCTTTCAACGATATTTATATCCGTTACTCAGAGAGATTCGTTGAAAAGTATGTAACATGTAGGAGGAAGACACGAAAATGTTAAAAATCGAGCAATTATTTTAAATGTTATTGAGTTATTGCCCTCTGCCGCTGCTTTGCCGGCCAAACCCTATCATCGTCATGTGGGCCTGCTGTTCTTTGCTTCTAGTGTTCTCTGTGCAGTTCGAATGTATTGGGGATATTTAAATTGAAATTTGTGAGCTGAGTAATATCTAATAGTTTTTTTCGATCCCCCACAAAATTTTCATTGCAGTCATTTTTAGATGTACTCACGAAGAAATGGAGCTCGACGTTGTGGATGCTCTTGGCGGCACATATTTGGCTCCTGCTCGGACAACAACCACTGTCCTCGCTGCAGCGGTGCAAAATGGTGCAGTGGGGCGTGTAGATCTTCGAGGGATCCTGCTGGACCAGCTGACAGCGCTTCTGGGGAACCCGGCAGGTGGCCTCCTTCAGCACCTGGTTCATGTGGGCGTGTGCAAGGGCTGAGAGAAAGGTACTAGTTAGCAAGTGTTTTTCCTCTGTCCCCGGGGAATGGCTTACCTCTCTCACTTTTCTGCTTCTGAGCGTGAAGGCGTCTCGCCTTGAGCGCCGCTTCGGGGGTTCCCAACTGCTCATCCTTCTTCAGGGCTAGCTTTCCCGCTACGTGGTTGCGTGCGTAAATGTTATTCACGTCCTGGAAAGGAAAACAAGGTTGGGTGTGCTTCAGTTATGCTATGCTAATTGGTGGTTTTGTCCTGTGCTCGTTTTCATGCCCATCCCCCTTTTGTCTGGCCTCCGTGCAATCACTCACATTACGCATACGCCACCGGGCCGCAACCATAAAAGTCGCACACATTAATAAAGCCCCCATTTGTGCCGTGTGATGACAATTTGTCACTGTTTTTATTGTCCATAGTAGGCAGAAAGTAATGGAACGGGAGGCACACACATTGAGGTAACATGCCAGTGTAACATTAACGAGAAGTTGGTACCTTACAAAATGTGCGGCCAACTGAAGTTCATAAACTAAGAATTCATGTGGACGCAGACGGCACAAAAAGCAATATCCAAATAAACAGCAGCAGCAGGTATGACACAAAAATAAAATAAACCTAAAGATGACGGAAGAATACTCTAAGCTTGTAACTATATTTTAGATATTTAACATAAGCTTATAAACTTTTCCTTCACTAGCTAATGCTGTGAATGCACTTGCCCTTCAACTTGTGTGAATGTACTATTTTTAATGGTTACATAGCTACATATATAACTATTCGCGTAGATAGTTTTGATCAACTACATGTTTTTTATGAAAATTTAATTCAAGTCTTAAAACAAATTGTTCCCTTTTTACTTAAGCTATTTTTTATTAATCTAGAAACTGACAATTTGTATATCTGTCATCTCCGTTCAGAATAACTCACGATACAGTAGTCAGCTATAAGAAGACCTAAGGAGATCTTTTGAGGGGTAAAAAACGAGAAGTTTATTTTCGTCGAAAAGCTAAAAAGTCTCGTGAAATATGGCGATGATCAAAAAAACAAGGCGAAGAAGTTTAAAATTTGTATAAATCTGATGAATACATCCTAAAATACCCAAAACATACAAGCCCTGCGAATTTTTACTTTATAACTGAAATAGAACTATCAAATAATTAAAAAAAACTAAAAACAGTGTGATTTCTCATTCTAAGCAGCAAATTAATCCCACATTAATATCTGTCAGTTTCTGCTCAGTTGTAAAATATTATTTAATTATTAATCTTTAAAAACAGTTGAATTGACGAAACCCATATTTTTATTGAGACTTGTAAGAGATTATGAATAGTACGATGTTTCCGTTATATTTGCTAGCAAGAAGTGATCGTTTCACGGCAAAATTATGTAAAACTCCGCTTAAACTTCGATTAATTGTGCGATCTTATATTAGTCATAATTTAAACAAAAGTAAATGTATTTTTTGGTAGAATTTAAATAATATTATTTATTACATTTTCCTTTTATGAGTGAGATATCTGTTTTCATTAACTCTAAACATTTAAACACATACATATATAATAGTACACTTATATATAAGGAACAACACGCCCATATCTTTTCTAGATTTTGGAAACCAGCAAACTGAGCCACCAAACCTCACTACCTTGACCCATAAGTGCAGAACAATGGGCACATGAAACAAATTGGCATTCAAGGCAATAAACACGACTGCGAGAACAATAGAGAAGAAATTTTCGGATATGGCCATATAGTGATGCCCGGGAAAAAAAGGAAATCAACCTGGTCTGCAGCCAGAACCAGAACCAGAACCAAAAAACCAGGCCCAGTCAACCACGAATTGAAGCGGGACGGAATGAAGTAAAAATGTTGACCAATGCGCACAATTGGCAATTTGTGAAGTTAAGCGAAATTAATGAGCTGGCTGTGGCCATAGCTCTTGCACATACAAAAAAAATATATATAAACATACAAAGACTTATAGGCAGTGTTGGAAGGAGCGAAAAATCGTAACTTGTGCAAATGTGGGTGGGCCAAATGGCTAAATAAAAGGCCAACGTACTGCAGTTGGAGGGCTGGTTTATTAGTCACACATTGAGGATATATATACTGCACAGTTTTCGTTCAAGGTGCTCAAAAGCAATTGGCATAAATCTACGTCTCCAGCCATTGTGCGTTGTATTGTGTCCAATCCCATTCCCATTTTCATTTAGGGGCTTAGCATTTCTGGTCCATTTGCTTTGGCCAAAAACAATGGATCTTTGATGTTGGTCAATGATTTTTAGTGGTTTAACCTTGAGGCTTATGAATGGGCCCCTCATTGCTGTCGATGCTTTTCGATGGCTTAAGAAGGTCATTAGGGGCTTGAGGAGGGGCTCTGTAGATCTTCGACCTTTGGGCCTCTGCTTCACGACCAGGTAGATCCACTATTGCCCATTGGACAGCTTGGGAATGCAATTTTTGAGCTCCTTCGTACAAATTGAATGTAAATATAACGGTTAATCCCTTCAAGATGTTCTATATTTTGTATTTTTTCGAACATCGATTATTTTGGGCTCACCGTCGATAGTATCGTTCTTGTTTATTTTGATTATTTAATATTGAAATTACATTCCCGTTGACACACTGCATTTCCAAAAGCTTCGAGGTAGGCTAAGAACTTAAACAAAAAGTTAAAGTTTATGTAAGTATGAATTCGGTATAATTTGCTTTGTTAGTCAGCTAAAAATAAAACATTCGATTTGTTTTCTTGATATATAGTCCTATTTTTTTTTAAGTCTAAACAGTTTACGATACTATCGATAGAGGCCCCCAATCGATATCCAAAAATATCGACAGTGCACTCTATCGAGTTTTTACCAACCTTATAAAAACCTAAATCTACTAACTACTTGGAATAAAGAAAATAAAAACTTCTCTAAAAACAGCTTTTCAAATTGAACTAAGTGCACCAGTAGGAGCACCGACCACCCCACCAGCGTCTGAATTATTCTCTCATTTGGAAAATTGCACTTGAGAAAATGATTTCGCTTGACCCGTATGCTTTCGTTTTCCCCTTCTTCAAAGCCTGGCTCTGCAATTAAATTTGTATTTTCTCGGCTTCCCTTTTCATCAGATTTTCCCGCTTTTCCGCCTTACTGTTGCCGACACTTCAGTCTGTGACGTTGGCTGGGAATTTATCACCTTTCGGGTCTCTTCTCGTTTGTCAACTTTATTCAATTTTGAAAACTGCAATGGCAGCGAGCAGGAGATACGGTGAAAGGAGCTACACGGACTAGCAGCCTTCACTTTCATCAAACTTCTGGCATTTGACGCCGCGCTGGCTGCTTATTAAAAACTCAAACGCTCTTCGAGGAGAGCTTCTACTCTCCTTTTGCCCCTTTCCCCGCTTTCGCCGTTTTCCCCGCCAGCAGACACTTCGCTGTCGACTTGAGTGCTGAAATATTGCAGCCCCTGTGTGGGGATCCCCCGATTCCCAGGCCATTCCTGTCTGGCTGAGTCCGGGTGCTGCTGTTTGTCATATTCCATTCCGCAGACGAGTGGCATTTTGATGGCAAAGAGGAGACGGAATGAGTGCACGCAGAAAATCTTGGGCAAAAAGAAATCTAGATTTATCTTCAAAACCGCTATTTCTTTCTTGCAAAATAAGATTTTAACTCCATTAATTAAAAAAAATCATTACCCAATCAAATTTAAACTAAGAAGTAAAATCTTAAATCTTTTAAGCATAAACTGGATCAACTTTATTTACTCCTAACTCTTAATTAATTAAATCAATATCATTATTCGCCTTTGACATACTTTTAAAAATAGTCCTAATTAAACGTTTTTATTTTTAAAGATCTTAAATAATCGTTATAATGGTATTTATTTAACTCATTTGAACAATATCATCCACAATGTATACAAAATAGAATATAATCAAACACTCTAAAAAATAATTTTCTTAATTTGGTTTTTTACAGTTTGTCTCCATATTTGAAACAGAAATATTAATAAATTGTTATAAAGCTCGTTGTGCTTGTCACAGTCAACTCATGTTTGTCAAATTATTTAGATTTGTTTACAATTTTTTTTGACTCAGTGTAATATTGCAAATTGGTGCAGAATAAGTATCCTTGGTATCATATCAAAGTTGAATGCTTTTATTTATTACGGACACGCAAAATTGACTCGGCAAAATTAGAATTCCAGTTTAAAGTGATTTGAAAAATTTTTGAAATGAATTTTTTTTACATTTCGAGCTGCATACTTTGGGGGTGTTCATGCCAAATTGCTCATACGCCGCTTGTGACGCGCGGAATTATTTTAAAATGTATTTGCATAGAAAAACGAAATGAAAGTTTGCCAGATAAAAAGCGATTCGAACTCAGAAGCGGAATGAAAAGTTTCGCATTGAAAAGTTTTTGTGGTGGAAAATGCATATACGGTATGCGCCCGCAAAAATGTTTTGGTTCGCTTTGGTAATTGTTGTTTACTCATACTCATACTCGTCTCTTTCTCCTTTCAGCTAGCCGTCTCTTTCGGTGTATGGTTACCTGTTTTTGCCTTGATGCGTTTTGTTGCATATAAATTGTATTTGTTGAACTTTATAATGGCAATGAAGTTGATGTTTTTACGAAGCAATTTGCTACAACACAACTTCTGTCTGTCTGCCTCACTATGTGCCTCTTTGTATTTCCTGTTTTCTTTCTCGCCCTGGCCTTTTCCTGTTTGCTCTGTTTTTCGCAAAAAACTTCTGCCAAGTTTTCTTTTCAGGCTGGGCTCATAAATTTGTATTACGAATGCACATATTTTTCAGTTGCAATTTTCTCTGCGCTTGTCTCTTTCTAACTGGCTATTGCCGCCTCTTTCGCGGTGAGGCGTCTGCGGTGCAAATATGTGGCTCAGTTGGTGGCCAAGTTTGGTGCGGTTAACGTACGTTTGGCAGCTATTTTGGCTTCCCACCATAATATTGCACCGAAAATGTAAAATTGTGTGGCATAAATTGTATTTGCCAAATAGTGATGGTTTTAAAATTTAAACACATTTCACATTGAATTTCCTAGATACAATATTGCTTGCATTATTTGATACTAATCGGCGGCCGCTTTGACCATTTAAAATTTAATTAAAACATTTCCCACATCCTTGTTAGCTCACGTGTAATTTGCTTTATATACCAATTTAAACTTATTTATGTTGTGCCTCGCTTAGC